GAGATCCTTCTCTCCCTCTCTCTCCCCCTCGCCCCCCCTCTCTCTCTCTCTCTCCCTCTCTCTCTCTCTCCCTCTCTCTCCCTCTCTCTCTATCACTTGATCTCAAGGTCTTGAAAAAATATTCTCTGGTTTTTTTTTTTTTTTGAGACAGGGTTTCTCTGTGTAGCCCTGGCTGTCCTGGAACTCACTCTGTAGACCGGGCTGTTCTTGAACTCTGCCTGCTTCTACCTCCTGAGTGATGAGATTAAAGGTGTAGGCCACCACTGCCTGGCTATTCTATTTTCCAATTTTATAGCAGCTTTATTTTAAAAACATTTTATATGTAAATCTATAAATCAGTGGGAATTGAGATTTTATGTGTAAGCCAGTAGTCAAGATTAATGTTTCCTTATAAGGAAACGTGTGTGTGTGTGTGTGTGTGTGTGTGTGTGTGTGTGTGTGCATGTGTGTATGTATGTATTTCCAGGACTATTTATTAAACAACAACAACAAACAACATATGTTTTGCATATGTTATTCTTACTTTAGGTCATCTTCACACACAGGCTGGAAAACAGACAAATACAAAAAGAGAGATAAATAAGGAAACTGCACAGAGGGAACAAGCACTGTCACCTTCTGCTATAGCAGAGGTACTTTTCAGTAATCTACTTCTTCTGAGAATACCAGTGGGATGCCATCTCATATTACATAAAACGTATTTCTTAAGTCTACACATCTCTGGGATCTTGTTCTGGAATACTTTGAAAATTCAAATGGGAAATAAAGAAAGGTCTCTTTCTGGAGCCGAGTGACACTTACCTCCTGCACAGTGAATACAGCCTATTGGAGGCAGTGATTCGGAAATACTCCGGTTTTGAACGGGAGGAGGTGCCACTTATGGTTCCCAAACCTAAGCGCTGATAATCTCTGAAACATGCTTTTTCCACCAACTGTTCCATTGTGGATTTCTCTGAGGCCTTCAGGGTTGTACTTGTTGGGAGTTCACTATCATCTGAAACTGACAGGCAGAAACAGGTTTTGTCAAAATGATTAGCTCAAAGTTAAGGACTTAAAATAGCAGCAACAACAACAAAAAGTACTACTACTTCATCTTTTTGGAGACAGGGTCTCACTATGTAGCTTGGGGTGACCTGGAACTTGATATGTATACCAGGCTTGTCTGGAAATCACAGAGATCTGCCTGCCTTTGCCTCCCCAATGCTAAGTTTCAAGGTATGCAATGCCATGCCTGGTTCAAAACCTCCTTTTGAAAAAGTTTTTTATGTTAGGGTTACCAGGATTTTATGTATAATAAATTAAACCATATAATTTCTACAAGGGATTATAGCTCAATATAGATGAAAACAGTAATGGAACTCAGGAAATATATTAAGAGTAACAACTAAAAAAATCAGGGAAGTAATACCATTTAAATAACTTCTAAAAACAAAGTGAGGCATGGTAGGTGCATCCTAAAAAACCCAGCATTTGGGAAGTAAAGGCAGGAATACTAGAAGTTCAAGGCCAGCCTTGGATACATAAAACCCTCTCTCAAAAAACAAGGGAATAGAAAATTCACCTGGTGTGGTGGTGCACACCTTTAATCCCAGTACTAAGGAGGCAGAGGAATTTGGATCTCTGAATTTGAGGCCAGACTGGTCTTCATAGTATATTTCAGGCCAGCCAGGAAGATTCCATCTCTAAGAGAAACAAAACAAGAGCAAAACAGCTAAAAATAACATGATTTTAAATTCATTAGCCACATTTTTCTGTCTCAGCCAGGCCTGTCCATTGATACTAGCGTACAGTAATTTGTATACAGAACTCTTAAAGAGAAGATAATCTGTTAGGAAAATTTATCTTTAATAAGATCACTACCATAAACTCATCATCCAAGGTTTTGTATTATTTTTAAAAGAATACATTTATATTGAAATTTCTAGGTTAATTAAAAGCATAGTAGAGGGAGCCAGGCATTGGTGGCACACGCCTTTAATCCCAGCACTCAGGAGGCGGAGGCAGGCAGATCTTTGTGAGTTTGAGGCCAGCCTGGTTTACAGATCAAGTGCCAGGACAGGCTCCAAAAACAATACAGAGAAACCCTGTCTCGAAATATCCCCCCCCCCCAAAAAAAAAGGAAGCATAGTAGAGGGAAAACTATGAAAAGTTCACTTGGTTCCTGGAAATCCTTTCATTAGAGGATGTAATTATAGAAAAAACTGTCACTCTTTGTAATCACAGGTTCACATTCCTCTATGATGTAAATATGAAAGAATTTACTCAATAACCAAGTACTTTAGAGATTTTTTTTTTTAAAAAAGGGCAATTTCTAATGTGTACTGCATGTCACAACAAAAAATTAATTTTAAAAACTGTCCTAATTTTCTATTTGTTTTTAAAAAAGGGCAATTTCTAATGTATACTGCATGTCACCACAACAAAAAATTAATTTTAAAAACTGTCCTAATTTTCTATTTGTTTTTAATATAAGAAAAGTTAAACTTTCAAAGGCCTCAGAAATGTACTCAACAGGCAATGAAAAATATGGTTCTCCTTTGGACAATGCATTGTGGCACATGTCTTTAAAGCATTCAAGGCAGGCAGATCTCTGGGAGTTTGAGGCCAGCTTGGTCTATATACTGAGTTCTAGGACAACCAGGACTACATATACAGAACATGTCTCAACACAACAAAAGATACAGCCCTCTCCAAAACCAGACAAAAACTAAAGCCCCAAACAAAGTAAAAGAGCTAGTTATGGTGCCACGTGACACATGTCTGTAATCCTACTATTTAGGAAGTGGAGGCAGGAAGAAGATCCTGTGTATGAAGCTAGCCTGGACATAGTAAATCTATATTTCTAAAACAAGACAAAACAAAACAAAACTATGAAAACCAACAATTATCCCTAAAGAATAAGACTTTGTGTTTTAGCTTGAGAATTTAACAATAACACACTGAGGTGCCAGTCCTTTTAGCTTTAGAGGAGGAAAGAACATTAGGTAACCCGGTCTTTTGGTAGAGTAATTATGTAATGATTTTTATTGTTTGAGTTTTAGAGGAAGAGTCTCACTATGGTTCCCAAGCTAGTCTTGAATTTATGAGCTGAAGTGATCCTCCTGCTTTGGCTATTGAGTAGCTGCAGCTATACACATGTTCTATCATGTCCAGGTATAGATTGCTGCTTTTTGGTTTTGTTCCATGAAATAATTCAAATTAGAAGAGTCAATAATTATGGGTAGCAATATTTTGTATATGACTGTGAGTAGGCCAGAGTTTCAATAAGTGTTCATTTCAGCAATGGAATGACAAGTCTACTGTAGAATATTATTTTAAGGTGTGTTACATTTGTTTATGCTGTAGAACATTTGTTTTAATGATACAAAGATGTGTTGCATTCTTTTATGTTACATTTGTTTAACTTGGTGAAGCTATGATTCTTTGCCTGTTTAAAACATCTGATGGGCTAATAAAGAGCTGAACGGCCAATAGAGAGGCAGAAGAAATGATAGTTGGGGCTGGCAGATAGGCAGAGAGACTAGGAGGAGAAAGCTGGGAAGAGAAGAAACTAGAAAAGGAGGGAGGAAGGAACAAATAGATCAAGGAGGAGAAGATGTCAGTGGTCAGGCACCCAGCCAGCCACAGAGTAAGAGTGAAAGTAAGATATACAGAAGTTAGAAAAGGAAAAAGCCCAGAGGCAAAAGGTAGTTGGGATAATTTAAGAAAAGCTGGTTAGAAACAAGTTAAGCCACAGGAAGCCACTTCCTAAATATAAACCAGTAGCACAGGCAATGAGAGCAACAACTAATAAATGGGACCTCCTAAAACTGAGAAGCTTCTGTAAAGCAAAGAACATGGCCAATAAGACAAACAGCAGCCTACAGAACAGGAAAAGATCTTTACCAACCCCACATCTGACAGAGGGCTGATCTCCAAAATACACAAAGAACTCAAGAAGCTAGTCACCAAAACACCAAATAATCCAATAAAAAATGGGGTACAGATCTAAACAGAGCACTCTCGACAGAGGAATCTCAAATGGCTGAGGGACACCTAAGGAAATGCTTAACATCCTTAGCCATCAGGGAAATGCAAATCAAAACAACTCTTGAGATACCTTCTTACACCTATCAGAATGGCTAAGATCAAAAATGCCAATGACAGTTTATGCTGAAGAGGATTTGGAGTAAAAGGAATGCCCCTCCATTGCTGGTGGGAGTGCAAACTTTTACAGTCATTTTGTAAATAAATATGGTGGTTTCTCAGAAAATTGGCAATCAATCTACCTCAAGACCCAGCAATCTCACTTTTGGGTATATACCCAAAGGATACACTTACACACAAGGACATTTGCTCAACTATGTTCATAGCAGCATTATTCGTAATAGCCAGAACCTGAAAACCCAGATGCCCCTCAACCGAAGAATGGATAAGGAAAATGTGGTTCATTTACACAATGGAGTACTACTCAGTGGTAAAAAAAAAAAATAAAAATGACATCTTGAAATTTGCAGGCAAATGGACAGAACTAGAAAAAGCCATCCTAAATGAGGTAACCCAAAACCAGAAAGACAAATATAATGTGTACTCATGCATAAGTGGATATCAGACATAAGCAAAGGAAAACCTGCCTACAGCCTGAAACCCCTGAGAACCTAGGTAATAAAGAGGACCCTATGACAGACATACATGGATCCACCTAGGAAGGAGAAAAAGACAAGATCTCCTGAGTAAATTGAGAGCGTGGGGGTGTCAGGGAGGAGGATGGAAGAGAAGAGGGGAGGAGGGAAGGGGAGTGAGGTAAATGTATATATAGCTTAATAAAAAAATTAAATAAATAGAAAGAAAGAAACAAGCCAAGCTAAGGCTGGGCGTTTATAAGAAAGATTAAGACTCTGTGTGATTTATTTGGGGGCTGTGTGGTGGGCCCCTAAAAGAGTAAAAAGGTAAAAAAAAAAAACCAACTACATTTTGGCATACTAATGTGGGGCTCTCAAATTTTCACATAGGGCCTGAGAAAGAATGAAAAAAGAAAGAAAGAAAAAAGAAATAGGACATTGCTTCTTTATTTTTTGCATATATATATGAAATATATATATGAAAGAAAATTATTTTACATATCAATCCCAGGTCCCTCTCCCTCCCCTCCTCCCCTGCCCCCTCAACTAACACCCTACCTATCCCATACCCTTTCTGCTCTCCAGGGAGGG